CCCGCCGCTTTGTGTGTGTCCTGGATTTGGGAAGAAGCTTGTGGTGGTGGCGGCGGCGGCGGCGCTGAGGGAGGAGGCGGTGGCGAGCGGAGCCCTGAGGAGGAGGAGAAGGAGGAGGGGGACGCCTCATTCATTTCTGCACCGCATTTCAGCCTCTCGTCGGCCTCTCCGCGACCCGGACTTGGGGAAAGACTGAGAACTGCGTCGCGCCCTCCAGCCCGGAGGCTCTGAGTATCAGGCAGCTCCCGCTCTGCTTAGGGTCGGGTCTGTTTTTCCTCGCCAAGACAAATTTAGGCTTTCCCCCTCTCTTTGCAGTTTTCCCCCCTCTCCTTCTGGGTTTGAAAATGGAGGCCGACGACGCCGACCGCCCGGCCCGGCGCACCTTGGTTCCCCGACTCCGAGCCCTGGGCCTTGGCTACCGGAGCTGAGGGACCGCACAAGTCCCGCGCCGCCGCCCGCCCGACCGCAGCTCGCGCGGGTCTCCCGGCCGGCGCCGCCTTCGGATTCTTGTTTCCCTCGCGGTAGTTTTTAGAAGGGGGCGAAGACTGAGTTGGACACTTTTTCTTTTCCTTTCCTTTTCCCTTCCCCCCCCCCTTTTTTTTTTTTTTAAACGAGGGGAATTTTGTACTAAATCAAAGGAATGAAGTCTGGCTCCGGAGGAGGGTCCCCGACCTCGCTGTGGGGGCTCCTGTTTCTCTCCGTGGCGCTCTCGCTCTGGCCAGCGAGTGGAGAAAGTGAGTAATGGACCCCACCGCCCGCGGCCACTGCGGGAACTTTTCCTCCGAGGGGCTGCGCCCTGTTTGCGAAACCCGAGTTGCCACCGTCGCAGCTGTCGGCCCCCGGGCTCGGGAGCGGCCGGGCGGGGCGCGAAGGGGCCCGGCCGGAGCGGCCCCGGGGCTGAGCTTGTGAATTTGGAGCCTGGGGGCCCTGGCTCAGCGCATCCCTCTCGGGAGGGGCCTCGTGGGCTTTATCGTTCGCGGTCCCGAGAGTCCTGCCCTACGAGCCCGGCTGGTCCGCAGCCGTCCCTCCGGCGCGGCCCTGTGACCCGGCCAGGCGCGGGCTCTGTGAGGGAAGTTAGAGCAAGGCGGTCCCCACACCCCTTGGGGGCCTCAGCCGGCACCTTGTCCTCCCCAGCGCGCGGGGCCGCTCGGCGCACGTCGCTAGCCCCGCGCGGCGCGCCGGCGGCATTGACAGCTCCGGCGGCCGCGCTGCGTCTCGCTGCTGGAGCTGACGCGGAGCCCGGTGGTCGCGAGCCGGGAGCCACCCAGACCGCCCGGTGCAATTTGCCCTCGAGGGAGTGGTACCCCGCGCGGAGCCCCGCAGTACTAGGACACGTTTCCAAACATCCCGGGGCTGCGCGGCGTGGCTTCCTGTCCCTCAGTGTGCTTCTCTCATTGGACGCTTTTGATCCCACAAATAGTTCTCTGGTGGTGTGCGCTTCTTGGGCCCCCGGCCCTTCTCCCGCTGCTCAGCGGGAGAAGCCCGGAACGATCTGCCCCCAGTGTCCCCGACGCAGCTCAGTGTGTGTGGGGGGCGAACCTGCCTCGTCCCCAGCTCAGACCCTCGCCAAGTGCGGTGTCGGTTCATCAGCCAGAACTTTCCGGGAAACGCGTCGATATCCCTAGTTCAGAAGGTTATGGGACCGTCTACCAGTTTATACCTGGTCCTGGCCGCCTTTTCCCCTCCTGGGGGGGCTAGGCTGAGGGCTCGGGCAGAATCCGAGTGAGCTTTCGCGGGTGTGTGGTCGGGTCCGACATGCATTTTTACACATGTACTTCCAACCCGGGGTGTAGCATCCGCCACGCGGCCGCACTGGGACACCCACATGCCTAGCCCAGGAGAGAGGTGCCCTAGGCTGTCGTTTCAGGAGTGGCGCGGGGTGGGGTGGGGATGTTTTGCGAGCACAGAGCCCTGGCCTCTTGTTTTGTTTTGTCCAGAGTTGTGCAGCAAACCCCGCGCCCTGCACTTCCTTTGTACATCGTTAATACGCAATATCGCTCCATAGTCTCTATCGTTTGCAATCTGATAGCTTTTGTTTTGGTGGTGTTGGGTAGAGAGAATCGCAGGGAGGGAGAGAAGGAGCGAGAACTTAGGGCCCTACGGTGTGTAGAGGGGAAGAGAAGGAGGGAGTTTTATTCTTCTAAAGTAATAATAATAATAATAATGTAGCTTACTGTAAACTCGAGAGGGTAGGGTGGATGGATAATTTGAACACGGTTAAAAGTTTAAATGCAGTCGCAGAGCTGCGTCTGGGACAGGTAGGGCGTGCTGATGAGTAATGTTTGCCAATGGTATGCAGGTGGTGCAGATTAACTTTGAAAAATCGCTACTGAACCTTGAAGAGATCGAGAAGCAGGAGGCAGCGAGGACTGTCTGGCCCCATCACAGGGGCAGTTCAGAAAGGCTGTTTCTATAAACCTTTCTTAAACGCCTTATGAGAGAGAAATGAATTCATAATAGAGTAGGGGCAAATCTTTATGGAACTATCATGTTTGAATGCAAAAAAGTTGTTGAAAGTCACAGATTGGAGCCAAGTCCTTCCACAAATGTGCGTTTCCCAGCTCTTTGTTTTCTAAACTTTCAGTACACTTGATTGGGCGAAAGGCTTCTGTTACTTAGGACTTTGGGTGGTGTTTGGGGGGACAGAGGAAAGTTTCTAGCTTTTAAAAGCTAAAAATAGAAGACACAGGAGAGCTAATTCATTTTATTGTAGCATGCCGTTGAACTGTAGTTTCTCTGTTTTTTTTTTTTTTAATTTTGAAAAGTCAAGATAGCAGTGATGGCCTTGCTTCTCTGATGCAGGAATCTGGCATCTTAAAACAGGCTGATTTGCTTGGAGCATTTTTCACAAAAATACTGTTTGTGGAAGGCAGTTCTTTCTTGGGAAAACAGTGGAGGGGAATGGAAATTATAATGTATGTTTATCATCCCCTAACACCATTGCTTTCTCCAAAGATCCTTTTAAAATTACTGATTCCTTGAAACCTGATAGATGGCCAGAGGCACCCCAATGTCTTGTTGAGGTCCTGGCTCCATACCTGCCCCTCCCTACATCTCTGTAATTTTGAGGATTAAATAGTGTGCCCAATGTGTACATATGTTCAGTTCTCCATGTGAAAGGAGCTAGTGAGAAATAAGCTACAGACTAGGGCATTCTTTTGGCTGTTGTCTGGTATAGTGATGAAGGTTTGGGTGTTTTTGGTAGAGAGGTAGATGTTGTGCAGGTACATTTAAGAATTAGCATCTCCTCTCCGAGTGTGATACCAATAGGGTAAGGTTCCCCCCCCCCGGAAAATGTAGAAGTTTTTCAAGCAGATGAAGTTATATGAACGGGCTTGTATATCAATAAAATGTGGACAGAGCATCTAAATTAGTGAGATTTGGAAGTAATGAGTAATAGCCGAATAATCTGATGGCTGCCTTTTTTTTTTTTTTTTTTTTTAAGATGAACGTTCACTTTCAACTTACTGTAGCCATTTCATTAAAAGGCTTGAACGGATACAGTAATCTTTCTCCCCCAGGCACAATAATATCCTATTGTCAGAGAAATATAGATGTGTGAAATACTGGTGCTAAAAGAAGTTAGTGTTTTACTATCAGAAGGAGAACGTAGAATAAGAATTTTTGAAGGAGGCTAAATAACATTATAATGTAGACTTTCTAGAGGGAGTGATATTTTATATATGATATTTTGAGGTGGAGGGGGATGTAGGTCAGTATTCAAAGTTTGGAAGGTCATATGTTTGATTTGTCAAAAGGGTTAGAAAAGTCTAACCTTGAGAAATATGCTAAGATTGATTGGAGGAACCTTAAAAATTGTGCTAATTGAAAGATGGCAGTCATAAAAGATCACATGATGTTTGATTCCATTTACTATATGAAATGCCTAGAATAGGCAAATCCATGGACATAGAAAATAGATAAGTGGTTGTTAGGGGATGGGGGAGGAAGGAATGGGGAATAACTAATAGATAAAAGAGTTTCTTTTGGAGTGATGAAAATGTTCTAAAATTAAGGTGTGATGGTTACACAACTTTCAGAATATACTAAAAAGTATTGTATTATACGCTTAAGATCAGTGACTAAGATATATATCTCAATAAAGCTGTGATTTGTTTTTAGGAAATATGCTAAGATTGTAAAGAATGCATTGTGCCACCTTGAACACAGAAGTTAGGCTAAAATTATTAATTTGCCCTGTGGGTTGGTGTCTATCTTTTTTAAATATATGTTTTTCAGATCCATTAACTCCAGCAATACACCAAATGGGTCATTGTAGCTCTGGCAGTAGGGGTTTAATAGAATCCTTAGAAATGGACAAGCAGGAAAAAGGGATCTTGGTTGTATGTTGCTGGATTGAAGGAGTGAGGGATTGGATTAAAAAACACAAGTGCTAATGAAAGATTTGTTACAGTAAAATCCTCAGTGAATATGAAATTGTGTTGGTCCTTTCAAGATAAAGTTAGTTTGGGTTTAGGAGCTGAGTCTGGATGGCTGTTTTTTTCTTTTTCTTACATATATTTTCTAGCATAGAAATAATGTAGTGTTTTAAGATAAATAACATCCTCTCTCTCTCTCTCTCTCTCTTTCATATACCCTATTAACCACAAGTAGTAGTAGAGATTGAGGATGAACTATTCATTTTAATGCAGTTTTTTTCCCCTTCGTTGCTTATTCTATGTTTTAAAAGGTTTCCGAATCTGAGTAGGAAAAAGAAACTTTCCAAGACATAGTAGTTTTTTTCAACCTCGTTCAGTGACTTCTTCATTTGAAAAAAAAAAAAAGAAAAAACCACTAAAATTTTTTATGCAGGAAAAGATATAATGTATGGTGAAGACATTTTGTTTTTTCATATTGTGTCTTTATCCAAATTTACCTTGGGCTTTTAATGGGAAAAGCCCTAGAGAATAATTTGCTTGCATTTGTTTTTGGTCTTTGTCTAAGGCTTAGTTTACTAGTAAAAATGTTTCCTGACCTTCTGTTGTTGCAAGATCAGGACAGTAATGAAAATCTACTGTATCATTTTCACTTGTTGCCTTAGAGTTTACCAAGGGGAGCCCTCAAGGGAGAATAGTGTCCTTTTTAATCCAGTTTCATTTGTTTTATAAGAATGTGCTGGATGAACCAACTAAATGCAGTTAGCACTTATTGGCTACTTACTGTATGAGAGCTGGGCCCTGTGCTAGGCAATGTGTGAGTTTTCAAAGAAATAGGACTATGCTTTTGCCCTTACAGCATTTTATATACTCCTGCGTGAAACAAAGTTGCTTGACAGTTAAGATCTTTTTCAAACTCAGTTTTCAAATCTCCAGCAAGCAGCATGACATCTTTTAAAGGCTCTTTAAAAACATTTCTTTAAATTTAAGACTTGAAGTAAACTATTGTTGACCTTTGGAAGGCTTGTTCTGCACCATTCTTGCCTTATTTATACCTTCCCTTCCATTGGGACATCACTGCAGGCCATGACATACAGGAGACATTTGCCCATCTTGATCAGCAGCACTGCCTTCTCTATAACATTGATTATGACCATTGTGAGAAAAAATATGTGCTGGTGTAAGGAGTTCTGGTGATGCTGCTCCGTGGGAGAAAGATGAAGCAGTCTCTTTCCGTAAAGATTTGGAAACTTGGTGGAGGTTGCTATGAGCTGGAATCAACTCTATGGCATTTTGATTTTGGTTTTTGGTGTAGCCTACCTTGTGCCAAAACTTTAGGAGTCACAGGTGTGTGCATG